CCCCAAAACCCCAAAACCCCAAAACCCCAAAACCCCAAAACCCCTTAAGGTACTATCTAATTGAGATACATAGGCTAATGTTTCCATTATTCAACAGACTTGGCGACATCGCCAATCTTGGAAAGATCTCACTCCTAACAATAGGTTTTAGAGATAAGTGCAGGGGATTTAGTCTCAATCGAACTGAAAAAAGACAGAAAAAGCTAAAAGTTTCATGCAGGAGAACACTTCCTGCATCTTTTTGTAACTAAATTTTAGTTATTCAGGTTCATCACCTAAATTATTGGCGAGTTTTAACCTCAAGTTACAATACTATGTAAATCTGAATTTTACCTATCACCTTGGAAAAGTTTTAGAAAATGTTTAGCGATATATTAATGTTATTCACTCTCCCTAGCATCCATTCATGTCACACTAGGGTCGAAGAAAGAAGTGTCATATTTGCTTGAGTCCAATTCAGGCTTATAAGGAGGATCTATTTCCTTAGCCAGAACTTTATCAATGTTTATCTCTTTAAACCATGGATGTGCAAGAACTTCATCAACATCATTCTCTGATCCTAACCTCTGGTCCATATCTTTGCATAATAATTTATTGATTAAATCTTGGGCATCATCTGAAACTGAAATTCCGTGTTTTGCTGGATCAGGGTACTTTATCTCAGCTTCTTTGATAAGATAAAACATGTGATCCCTCTTCTTATGATAGAAAGGCGGAATCCCAACGATCATTTCATAAATTAATATTCCTAGGGCCCACCAATCAATTCCAAAATTATGGCCTGTTGAAGTAACCATTTCAGGAGCAAGATATTCAGCAGTTCCTCAAAAGCTGGTTGCAATCTCATCTCTGGCCAGAATTCTTGAAAGACCAAAATCTGTGAGATAAACATACCCATCTTCACCAAGAAGGATATTCTCTGGTTTGAGATCCCGATAGAGTACATCTTGTGAGTGGAGATGTCCTAGAGCTAATGCAATTTGGGCTGCATAAAATTTAGCTCTGTATTCCTCAAATCTTCCTCAATCGATAATCTGTTTAAAGAGTTCTCCACCTCTAACAAAGTTCATGACAAAATAAATTCTTTCTTCATTCTTAAAGACAAAGTCAAGGGAGACGATGTTGGGATGTTCAGAGTTGAGCAGGATATGTTCTTCCAATTTAGTGGATTCCATCTTGTTATAGTCCATAATCTTCTCTTTCTTTATACTCTTCATGGCATGAAGTTTGCCAGTGACTTGATTTTCGACCAAATAGACTTTACCAAATGACCCAATACCCAAGACTTTCTTGATGACAAAATCTTCGAATTCTCAATCAGTATCAGATTCTTTAGAGTATAGAGTAGAGGATCTTTTATCTCTTCCCTCTCTTTCTTGAAACTCAAAGTCATCTTCAATTACGTTAGGCTCATCTTCATAAGTATTCTCTTTCTCTTCTTCATCCGTAGCAGTATTGTCAGATTTAGTGGTCTCTTCCACTACTTTCTGATCCTTTTGAGCTTTCTTAGTTTCCCCTTTCGCCTCTTCCTTCATGAGATATTCTTCAGAAAGAAGTTTGAAATCTTTTTGAATTTTTGTAACTCCTTTTAAGTCTTTCATCTGAGCTGTGTAGATGGGCAGGTTATTGTGAATATCACTCACATATGCTATTTTTATCAATTCAACTCATTCGGCTGCATTGTTCGTCTTTAGCCGAATGTAGTCAGAGATCAAATGGAGTACAAACTGATTTGATTTAGTAGACTTTGTTAATGCAACAATATCCTTAAAAGGCACAGAATTCTTCAACTTCCTCTTCTTTGGTCCACTTTGTTTGAATAAATATATCGCCTTTGAGGTCACGATTATAATTCTAAGGGTTAAAGAAAAATTATACCTTTTTGTAGCCATGTTATAGCTAGACATCTGGCTAATTTTATCACTAAAGAATACAACTTCGTTCGAAATAATGTTGACAATGTCCTTATTTGTCTGCACGTTCAGATAATCTGGACTAATAGTATTGTATGACATATTTTTATTTATAATATACTTTCTAGAATTGGGGTTTTGGGGTTTTGGGGTTTTGGGGTTTTGG